TCGTTAAATGTAGTACGAATTTTTAATTACTAAATTCGGTATAGTAAGGGTTTTTTTATATTTAAAAATCTGTCTGATACTGAAAATCCATTGTATTGTAAAATTCATTATATCAAAATTCGTTGTAGAAAGAGTTGATTATACTTGAATATATGATATACAAGTGCGAAAAAATTATAAAGTAAGTAAAATAAGTATAATTTATTTAATTTATTTATTTATTTTAATTGTTATATATTTATTTTAGTAATAATGATCGAGAAAAAGAAATTATATTTAATGTAAAACGGTTTCAAAGTCAAGCAAAAGAACGTATTATAAATATAACTTAGAAAATCAACAATTTTCATACTCATATCTTTACACAACTTTTTTTTTTTTATTACAGTTCTGGTGATTGATACATGACGTTATGATGAGAATCTTATGAAACTATATGTCAGCCACATCCCTAGGTCTCTGCCAGCTCATATGTTCATTGGCAACCTACACTGATAAACTGGCCCAGATATTACTTTGTCAGCGGAATTAAGCCCTTACAGAGGATTTGATACACCCTTCAGTTACCACTTATCCAGGAATTACATACCACTATAGGATTGAGAGATCTATTACACTATATACCTTGCTAGGGTATACTCTTACCCGACTAATGTCACAGGGTTCATGGGATTATTACCACAAGATTTGCCCAAACGGTATACTAGCTGGGTGATGATCTGGCCATATCGACAAACATCTTAGGAATCGAACCTAACCTCAGACCCAATGATATGCTCGATTAGACGATGCTGCAGTATGCAATGCAGTTTATTATCGCCATTGATCTAATCTACTAATTTCTGGTCAATCACTTCCTTAATTGATAAACATATGCACTTATGTATACAAGCCTACGGAAATAAGGGCCCCTGCTGTGTGAGAAGGGAGACTGTATCCATTACAGACCAATCAGCGAAGGCCAAGTTTCTGTCGATCCCTGACTTTATTTGCTTTCCCATGTTCTAATACCGTGCAGTATTTAGGCATGATCAACGTTGATTGATGAATCAATCAACCAGAATCTAACACATATTAGTATATACGCCTACTTGTTTATACAACTTTTTCTGGTATCATTTTCCATCATATTTTTAGAGTTGCATCTCAACTTAATTTGGAAAAACTACACTACTATTTATTTCTTACAAGATGGTTTAAGGATCCTAATGATCAAAACATTATGAAAATGTACCAAGTGTTTTATAATTTGGTAGGATCAAGTTCAAATCAAAATGTTAATAATGGAAATTCTCCAGAAACTAATGATGATGATTATGAATATCTTTTAAATTAGACATGGCAAAAAGTTTACGTGAACATAATGATGGAAGACCTAGTAAATATGATGCTTCTGGAAAACTGCAGCTTGATTTTTAGCAGGTAAAGCAGCAGATGCTGTAACTGCTATAGATGAACGTAGACAAGACCCAATTGTGCATCTTGCAACTGCAATTTCAGTAAATGATCTTCTGCATCAGATTAAACATGAATTTTCATCTGAAATATCTATTCTAAGTGCATAATGGTTAAGGTTACAATTTTGTCCTAAAAACCCAAAGTGACTTAGTAGTTTGCAGTTTACTAGACGCTTATCTTTAAAATTCATAGTTCAAACACATCAATTACGGGCTTATCATCCAGATGCTCATTATGCATCAGCATTGTTCCATTATGAGAAGGAGTTTGCTGTGAAATTTTATAAGATCGCAAATTTTGTCTTTTTAGATGATAAACATCGATATAAGGTTAGAGAGCCTGGATTTTCTGTTGTTGCAGTAGAAAGAGGAAAGAGAGTTGTGATTAGTAAAGATACTATATTTGCAGTTGCAGATCATGATTACACAAAATCAGAGATCATAATAAGTATAACAATAGTATGTAATATACCCGATTCGATAAATGGTGATTTCTATATAGGGAAAGTATATATTGAATTAAAGGACCCAATCTTTCAGACTTTCTTGCCTATTCATCATGCAACAGAATTATATCACATACTTCTTGATGAAGAGCTCATCAATAAACCTATTCTGTGTCTTTATACGGATGGTAAACTAGATCATCATTGCACATATACCTGTATTCAGCTCTCCTATATTTGTCTTTTTCTTGCATTAGACCTTGACTATTTTGTTGCTATTCGAACTCCACCACAACATTCATGGAAAAATCCTATTGAACGTATTATGTCGATTCTGAATCTTGGGTTATAAGGTATTGGGTTAATGCGAACCAAAATGAACGATCTATCAGAAAAACTAATAAAAGGGGCTGGTACAATGAATGAGATTCGCAAGTTTGCTGAAAAAAATCCTAACTTGAAGAAGGATCTTATTGAAAGTCTTCAAGATCCAATTCGCTTGATTCGTAGTGTATTCAGCCGTCAGTCTCTTAAGGATAAACTGTTCGAAACATTTACTGCAGTATTAGAAATAGAAATGGAAAGATTTTGGAAGAATATTCTACTTGTTGATGATAGTGTTACTCATGAAGACCATACTGCAGAACATATAAAACGAAAGGTAAGTAAAATGTTATTTGAATGAATCATTATGCAAAAAAAACTAGAATAACATATCTTTGTTTAAAGCCACATCTGTAAGAAATTTTAAACCATTGTTGTATGGCAAAATACTATTTCTATTTAATCAAAAATGTGGTGAATCATCCTGTACCATTTGTCGTCCTCCTTGCTGCTTATCAGAAGATTTCGAACAGCTTCATTGTATTCCAAATCTAATGCCTGGGGATGACTTACATTACAAGTCATTTGAAGAGTTATATGGCAAACAAACAACAGAGGATTACAGACCTTCATTTAATAATGCTAAAACGAGAACAAAAAAGGGCAAAATGAAACCAAAAGTGCAAAATATACTATGCTATTTTGCCCTTCTGCCGCGCGTGCAAGAAATATTGGTGTCATTGTAAATTGCTTTGAATGTGAAAAGCTGCGTCTTTTATTTAGTACAAAAAAACTTTCAGAAGAAGATAAGATGATACTACAAGGATTCTTGGATACAATCCTTTATACCTGTGGTATATAATTTCATAATACATGTGACCTTATAAAGGTTGTGTCGCAAAAACAATCAGACATACACATAGGAAATGAGATTGGCTGTAACAAAGAAGTTAATGATCAAGAATCAACAAATAAGAATGAATATGATAAAAATGAAGAGAATAAATTTGAAGACTCAGAAAGCGAAGGCGAAGACGAAGACGAAGGGTCCAATAATAATGTGAAAGCAGAGATTAGCAATAATGCAGAAGATGCAGTTTGTGAATTTTTTTCAAGAGTCTTTGTTAATGATTTGTGGTCTTGTGCATCACAAGTTGAAAAACTATACTACTCAGCTGGAATCTATCCAGATATTTGCATTGAATGCAGAAGTTTAAATGTTAGTAAGCCAGCAAAAGGTGAACAACCATGTTGCAGTGGCTGTGTTAATCACACCACTGTTTCAAAGAAACATTTAATGTGAAAATAGGGTGGTAAAGATAAGAAAAAACAGAGAAAAAATTAGCTTCTAAATTTCTAAATAAAACTTGAATATAAAGGATCGACCTAAATATTAATCTGACTGTAAAATTTAAGGTTAAATTTAAGTTTCAATGATAGACAAATCAATCACATAAAATTGTATAGAGCATTATTATTGGTCAATTATTTTAAAAAAATAATTACTGAACTCTGTTCCAATGATCCAACCGGATTATGAATACTGAAAAATTTATTTTGTTCTGCCTAATACACTGTGATATTATTACAAATTAATGATAATACATCCTTTTGTATTATACAAATCGGTGACATTATTAATAAATTAAATTATTATTTTTGATAATACATGAATATTAGACTTATCGTATTATATAAATCAGTGATATTATTAACAAATTAAAGTATTGTTGAAAATTAATAATAATACATATTGGAAATATACTTTTTGTAAAAATATAAATAAGACCTGATTATCGATATAAATTGGTAAATATTTTTTCTTTCTCTAAATTTTTTCAACAAATATGACAAAATCAAAAAGAACCCTTTTTTATAAAGATAACACAAAAGATTGCAATATTATTCCTAAAACTACAAATATATCAAGATCAAAGAAATCTGATAATAAAGGTTTCACAAAAGATCATAATACTCCTAAAACTAGGCATTTGGTTGAATACAAATGTATTTTTACATTGCCGGGTAGTAAATTAGTTAATCCCAGAACATTTAGAAAACACCAGCAAGAATTAAAAAAATTTCATGCTATTACTTCTGAATCTCAGCATTCTACCTAATCAAGAAGAATTAGAAGCAATAAGGTCGATATAAGAACATCATCAACTTTGAAAGAAAAAGAAAGGATCAAATCGGTTGATTGATATCAAAATTCACCTGATGATTATTTTAGTAATGATTCAATTCCAATTGATGAGGAACTAATTGATATACATAAGAAATAAAAACGATATAATAAATTTTGTGATCCTATTTATGATGAATTAGAATCAATTCCAATTAAAGAAGAAGAAAAAGAAAAAGAAAAAGAAGTTAATGATATGTTTACAACAGAAGATGATCACAAGTTTAGTGATAATGATCATGGGTTAAGTGAAGATGATGTTCTGTTTAAATGATTTACTGCTCCTGATTTTGATGATCTTGATGAATTAGATCATGAATATCCTGGCATGAATGTTAACTTTAATGATCCGTGAATATTATTATAAATATTCAAGTTTCAAGCAAGATTTCGCCTATCTGATGTTGCTATTAATTCACTTATTAAGTTTTTAATATGGTTTTATTAGATGCTGATTGGTCTCGCTTTAAAGACTTTCCTACAAGTTCTTATATAGCAAAAAAAATGATAGGAATTGATAAACAAGCAAAGATATATGCAGTATGTCTAGATTGCAATACATTATATAAAATTTCAGAAATTTTGCAAAAAAATGTGAACGATTAGTCAAATAATGGATTTAAATGCACCCATGTAAAATTTCCAAATCATCTGAGAAAAGGCCAGAGGAGTCCTTGTGAAACAGAATAACAAAACAAATATTAATAGTTAAAGGTTACATTAGAAAACCAAAGATGAATTTTCTCTTGCCATCTTTGAAGGCTCAATTGATTACAATGTATTAGCAATCAGGATTTGAATCACTTTTGAAAAAATGGATCAATCGGAATGATACTGAACTAATAACTGATATTTATGACAAAGAAATTTAGAAAACTTTCCAATCACAAATTGACACACCTGATTCTTCGCGATTTTTTACATCGGAAACTACTGATTCCCATTTAGAAATTATGATAAATCTCGATTAGTTCCAACCATTTGATTCATCAGCATATAGTTGTAGCATCATATATGGTGTTATATGTAACCTTTCACGCGAAGTTCAATTTAAAAAGGAAAATATATTGATACTTGGACTACTACTAGGTCCTAAAGAGGTAAAGTTATATCAGATAAACCACTACCTTTCCGATAGTGGATGAATTATTAGAATTGTAGAATAGATATGTTATATCAATCTCATCAAAATTTCTGAATGGAAAAAAAATTAGGTTAGCTGTCATTTGCTGCTCAAATGATATTCCGGCTGCTAGAAAATTGTGCGGTCATATATCAGCATTAACTGGCTGCTATCGATGCTATAAACGTGCAAATACAAGAGGTAGAAACCAAATTTTGGTGGATTTCGAAGACATGAATGATTAGTTTCAAGAACGAGACCTTGAAAAACATATCAGAAATACTGAAGGATGGTGACAATGCAAAATAAAAGATCAAAAACAGCATGTTTCTGATACACGTATGTTGGTTAGAAATGTTAAGGCTGCCTTATTTTAACCCGATTCAATATCTTGTCATCAATCCAATACATTGCCTTTTTCTTAGTATTGCTTATTGGATAATAAAAAGGTTATGGTCTAACAAAATCGATCTTGTATTATTAGAAGAACAGTCAAAAAACATCAACCTACCCGCCGATTTGGGTCAGATCCCAAATAAAATTTCAACTGGAGAAGGGTTTTCTGACTTTACTGCCGATCAATGAAAGACTTTTATTTTAGTATATGCTACTCTATTATTATAGGATCTTTTGAATTTACCAGATAAAGAAATTTTAGTTAATTTTGTTAGAGCTTGCTCATTACTTGTATATCAAATAATTGACAACAATATATTGACTGAAGCTCATGCCTGATTGTTACAAGTAGCACTTTTAGTTGAAGAAAACTATGGATCAGAATTTATAACACTAAATATATAC